GTCCACCCCCTTAGTGCAGTCCATCCACTTAGTGGGCAGCGGGTGGGAGCTGCTGGAATGTGGGGCTTGCCCTTGAGACGTCTGATGGGGTAGTTCAGGGGCACCAGATCCTCATGCCTAGCCAGCCCCAGATAACTGCTGGCACAGGTGGTCAGTGTACTTGCTCTGGGAAACCAGGCCCCAGGCTGTCTAGAAGGCTGAGTCCAGGAGGACTGCAGGGTCCTGGTCTTCCTCTGTCCTTCTCCTTGTTCTTAGTGTCCAGGTGTTTTGGTTTTTAACTTGAGTGTTTGATTTTCTGGGAAAACAAGGACTTTTCTGCATGCTCCAAGGTACCTGGAAGCATCTTGGCAGAAGTGGGCACTGCAGTGAACCCTGTGAGCTCTCGTGTTGCGAGGCCCTGCCACTGCTGGGTGGAGTCCTCTGCACACTGAGGCTGGCGGGCAGTGAAGCTCCCTCTTGGCCAGTCTACGTGCGGTCCTTGTTTTCGTGGGAATTTCCTTAATTGCTAGCCAGATTAGTAAAACCAAGATTATCCTCTGAATAGCTGTTGGAATAGAGCGTCTGCTCTTTACCTACACACAAACCAACTTGAAAAAACATTAGAAATTAAGCTCTTCATGAAACTAGTAATACAAATTTATAATACCCAATGATCAATTATTGGCTTGTATATAATATAAAAATTTTTTGAAGACTTGCAAATCTTAGGAATGAATTTAGCAAGAAATGAGTCAAATCTAAATAGATAAAACTTTCCCAAAGGGCATAAAAGAAGACTTCAGTGGAAATGGGTACCTCTTCCTTGGATAGGGCACTGGAGTATTGTAAAAATGTCCATCTGCTCTAAATTGATGTGTGAATCTGCTAAGGTATCCATCAAATAACAAAAATGACTCTTGTAAAAGAGGTTTTGTAGAACGATCCTAAAATTCATGTAGAAAACTAAACATAGTGTTGAGGGGGAACTTATCCCTTCAGATTCAGTAGTAAATTATTGACAGCGCTACCCAGACTGGACCAAAGGATCGGCAAACAGCCTGGAGGACCAAGAGGTGGGGAGAAATAGACAGGGAAATTAGTTTATGATAAAGATGATACTTAAATCAGTGTAAAAAAGGAGTAATCAGTAATATTGGGATGATTAGCTAGTCACAGGCGAAAAATCAGGCAAGATAAATTCAAAATGGAATAAAGATTCAGATGTCAAATAACAAAACCATAAAAGTCGGAGAAGACAGATGAACTGCAGAGTTGAGCTTGGACGTGGGTGACCCTGCACCATGACCTCTATCAGACCCAGGACCACAGAAGCCACTGAGGAAAGTGGTGACATTGACAAGGTGGAGGCTTCCCTGTGGCAAAAAATACCCAAACAAGGTCCCGAGACAAAGGACAGGGTGGAAGGGTGTGGGAAGGCTGGCTGTGCAAGGGGCACCTTCCCGGATCAGGAAAGGATCCCAAGGGCCTCCAGAGTGGGCGGCTCACTCCAGGGGTTGCCGGGCTCCCCTGCTCCCCACCACCCTGGGGTCGCTCCGAATGGATTTCAGAGTTTTTTAATCAAGAAAAGATTTGAGAACATGAGGCTGCTTCCTCTTGGGGTCCTTCATGGAAGCCAGCGTGCTTGGGGAGTAGGCTGGCAGTTCCTGCCCCTGTGTGGCAGAGGAGTGGGGACCCAGACGAGCCCTCCTGGGGCGTAAGGTGGCAGTGGACTCCGAGGAACCCGATAGCCCCCGTTCTCTGCCACGCATGTCTGCCCAAGTCTTGGCTTTTGTGGGAGGGCGCAGGAGCCAGCGCCTGCTGACTCGGCTCTGCCAAGGTCTACTTGAGAAATGCCGACTCGGGGCCTCCCCTGTGGCAGGGCCTCTCCTGTGGGCAGGGCCTCCTGCGGGTGTTCACAGCGCCCACTCTCTTGGCACGAGGGGATCCTACGGTGGTCACCCACCCGCTGGCAGGAGTGGGGGCCTGGGGCCTGGGACCTGGGGAAGTGCGTGAGGAGGACGCTTAGTGGAGGAGGGGCTTTCCCTGGGCAGCACCTGGGGCCTGAGCCTGGCCACCTCCCCAGTCAGGTTCTTACCTAGGCCGCCTGTGCCCGCCCCCGACCTCACCCTGGCGCTGGACAGCGTCCTGCTGGTGGATGGAGTGGAGGGAGCTCAGTGGGGCTGAAGTAGCCTTATTCCACCCGTAACCCAGCGGGTGGACGCCCCTCCTCGCAGGCAGGACTTCTGGGGCACCGGCTTCCTTCCTGCAGCCATGGTGCAGGAGGACGGGGACCTGAGCTGGCCTGCTGTAGAATGTGTCAGCTGCAAGCTGCAGGGGACACCCATGCACAGCCCAAGGACCCTGTGGGCAGCACAGGCCTATTGAACCTCCTAGAGCCCCTATTGCTCCCAACATGGTGTCCAGTGCCTGCCACCTGACTGAATGCCAGCACCAGCTGCCCAGGGTGGAGCAGACCTCTCAGGTTGAGGGCTCAGTCCCACAAGGTGGCCCCTATATGAGACGTTCAGGAACTTTCTGCTCTGCCACAGTGAGGAAGCACTGGCAGACTCCCGCGTGGTCACCACTTGGCTGTTGTTATGGAGGGACTCTCGCTAACCCTCCTGACTCTCAGTAACCACCGGCTCCTTAGATGTTTCCACAGCCAGAACTGTGGCCTGGTAGTGTCGCGCAGTGGTGAGGCCCAGGGTCGAAACCCCCATCACAAGAAGCCAACCAACAAAGACCAAAGGACATCAAGGACTCAAGTCCTGCAGATCCTTAGTGGCTTTATTTGCAATGACCGAGTTGGGCAGGCATTTGGACTGAAGTGGTTTGGAATGCCCGCCCACTTCGGGGCAGTTACACCCTGCCAGGGACAAGGAAGTGAGACCGGGTCTGCCTCAGTGGCCACAGGGCAGACGCTACAGCCTTCTCTGGCTGAGACCTGGAAAGTTCTCTTCTCGTATGACTGGGGTCGGTCCATAAGGAATCTGAAGGCCGATGTAGAATCTTCTCGGTAACTTTATACACCAGTCGAGACCATGTGTGCGGCGTTTGAAGGCAGGGAGAGGAGGGTAGGGGTGCCGTCCCTGATTCCCTGCCCGGTTCTGGCATGGTGTCTTCCCTGTCTCCTTCCCACAGCCGTCCTTCTGGTCAGTGGATTGTCTCTCACCTCCAGCCTCAGAAGAGCTCCAGATCCTCCTTCCCCCTCCCCCGTCCACTTAGTGCACTTGCATTCCTGGAGCCACCCTGTCACCTCCTGTTCTTCAGAGGCCACTGGGTATGAAACCAGGCTTGAGGGGCCTTCCTGGCCACCTGCCATGATTCCCGTGGACCTCTCCCAACAAACACCCTGAACTCGGTCCACTTGGACCCCAGAGTGTTCCCTCGTGAAGCCACCGTGGCACCCAGCAGAGTGGGGTGCAGAACCCACTTTTGATGGTACCTGGAGCTGGGTGCCTGCTCCCCCCACCCCCACCCGGCTCAGCTGTCAGGGTCACCCGTGAGGTGACTCCTTCAGGGCTTCTTCCTAAGTCAAAAGAGACCACTTTCTATCCCCTGATTTTTTAAAAATAGTATTTTAGCAGTCGATGGACCTTTACTTATTTGTTTTTATGTCTCACACATGTGAGGCGAGTGTTCTGCCTCTGACCCCAGCCCAGCCCCAGCCCACAGGTGCATTTTGTGTGTCTTTGTTCTAAAGTGCAGGCTGCAGAAGGCAGGGTCCCACGTTGTCCCCCCATGTGCAAGAGGCATACAACGGCTGCCGGATGAATATTCACTGAAAAATAAATGAACTTCCATAGCATAAAAACTCTGTCCTTCTTTTGGGGGATCCACCACAGCATCTTCACACTGAAAACGGCGCTGTCCATCTCTTTGAGGCTGTTCATGTAGGTTGAGTGCGTGTCCTGAAGCCTTCGGGGAACTGCCTGTGAGAAGTGAAGGCCTCGAAGTGCCAACCACGTGGTCACACAGCCACTGTCACTTCCAGGTCCTCAAATCATGTCACATGTTTCCTCTGGTTTGTTAAAGATGATACACTTGTCCCTTGTTATCCTGTGGGCATGGGTTCTAGGACCCCCTAAGGTCACCCAAGTCTGGGTGCTCAGGTCCCTATGTGGAATGAATGGCCTGTATCTACAGAGAACCTGCCCGTGTCCCCTGTGACTGAGTGGCCTCTGAATCATGACCTCGCAGTGTGAATGCTAAGGGCAGTTGTCACACCGCGCCATTGGGGAGTCACGTTGAGGGGAAGCCTCTGCATGGGCTCAGTACAGGCACCGTTTTATTTTGGATATTCGTGATCTGCAGCTGGTCAAATTTGTGGACCCAGAACCTGTGGACAGGGAGGGTCGGCTGTGTGGAGTGAATGCATGGGCACCAGTGGTGATGTTCTGATGTCAAGTCACGGAACAGTCTGCCTTGGCCAGTGTGTTGCTGGTGTGACAGCATGCCCCAGACCCATCCATCGAACAGGGACCCAGTGGCTCTCAACTCAGGAGCCCGGGAAGTTCCACATCAGGGCACCAGCAGGTCTGGGAATTCTGGCTTCAAAATGCACCCTGAATGCTTTGTCCCCTTAAGGAAATCCTTCCTTTTCACAGATGGAAGGTCTAAGAGGCAAAGGGGACCCAAACTCACCCTCTTACAGAGGCATTAATCCCAGCAGTCAGGGTGGGGCCCCAGGGCCTGATCTCCTCATGAAGTTGCCACCTCATAATGCTGTTATAATGGCTAAATTTCAGCGTGAGTTTTGCAGGGGACAGACATTCAAACCACAGCACAGCCCTGGCTCTGAAGGCTGAAATGTACACCGTCACCCTCTCAGCCATTTCCCCCTGCCCAGAACTTGTTCTGCTGGGGACAAGGAGCCCTGGTCCAACATGCCTCCCCCATCCCAGAGACCAGGCTTGCAACACCGGCTAAGTGATTGTCATTCTGTAGAAAAACCAAGCTGTTCCCTTGAGAAGTACCTGGGGTCACCTGCATTCATTCCCTCTGGGTTTGCCCTCTTCCAGGGAGGTCCCCCTGAAGGATGCGAAGGAGTACGCCGAATCCATAGGTGCTATCGTGGTCGAGACCAGTGCAAAGAATGCCATTAACATCGAGGAGCTCTTTCAAGGAATCAGTAAGTACCCGAAACCGGGTTTTCAGCCAAGCTTGCGTTCGGTGCTGGAGGAGCCAGGATACCGTGTAGAGCTAGCTCCCAGGCAGCCCCTCGCTCTGCTGAGCGGATCTGATGCTGTGCAGATGAAGCCCACAGCTGGGCACCTGTCAGAACCCACATCTGCTGTGCCCCTTGGTTTCGTTTCCATAATTCTGTGCTTTGGCCTGTTCACCTACGTTTTGTGAATTCAAAGGAAGTAGCCCTGTTTCCAAAGTCAAATGCATATTAATTTAAAGGTATGCATGGATCGCATTTTATGTTGGCACCTTTAGGAAACGAAATGTGAAACAGAACCATGAGGTCTAAAAGTTCCGGCCGCTGGCTAAACCCACTAATTCTAGGTGAACAAAATGAGGGAACCTTCTCGTCATTTCTTTTGCCTGTTCATTGTCCACAAAAAATAACATCTGCATCCCACATGGCCTGAACCTGGGCGTGAGCAGAGAGTCACTCTGTAAAGATCTTCCTCAGCTGATTCCTGGGAGGGGACAGCCCACCTGGTCACCTGCACTTCTCTTTCTTGTGATGGTTTCCCATGTTAATCTCTCCAAGAGCTGCTCCCCAGCTGACCTACCCACTCACCTGTCTGCAGTGGCAGGTCCACCTTCCTCAACTCTGTTCCTGACGTTCTGTTCTGGCTCCTGCCACAGAAGTACCTGCTGACATGGGGTGGGGACGCTGAGCTCTGGGCGCTGCCCTGGCCCTGGGGCAGTCAGCAATGTGGGCAGGGAGGCTGGGCAAGGCCACACTTGGGAAAGGCTGGCACCTCTGTCCCGTAACCCTCCTTAGGAAAAGTGGTGCCCTGAACAGTTGGCAGCTGACCTCAAACATCTTGGCACCAGGAGTTCCAGAAGGGAAGCCCAGTGTCTGCCTCTCCTCTGAGGCCTTCTGTCTAAGGCACAGAGGGCCCTCGCCCCTGGACAGATGCCATTCCCACTTACTGGTTTGGAACCATGACTTTGGCCTCTGAGAGCTCACAGCGGGGAAGCTCCTGTTTGTTTACCTCAGCTGGACAGAGAACTCACGGGAGATGGGCTCTGAGCCCTGTCCCTTCCACTGTGAGAAGAGTGCCACCAAGCTACCCCTGCAGCCACCGCCTCCCCTCCCGACTTGAGAAGGATTCGGTCCTGCTGTTATTCCACACTCAGCAGAGCAACGTCCAGCTCACTGGCCACAGGGTTCAGCTCTGGTTTGCAGAGGCTGCGGCAGGGACCCCGGTTCTCACACTCTGACTCCTGACAGGCAGTGGTGGTGCTCTGCACATGTGTCCCTCAGGGGGACATCTCAGAGTGTCCCCAAGAGCGAGCTGCTTCCTTCCTGGTGGCCTTAGGCTTTTCTGGCATATTCAGCTGTTGGCATTTTGCTTTCCGGGTGGTTCTACTGAATGACCTGCTGCTGGGACATTACACCTGTCATTTGCACAGTTATTATCTTTTCCCCAGCGTGAGCCCTGCTCAGAGGGCAGACAGCAGTGCCCAGCCACAGAAGCCCAGGACTTTGTGCACCTTGAATTCACCTTGAGATTTCTGCAGGAGCTCGGAGACTTTCTGAGATTTGTGAAAGTCATTACTAAAGTAAAAGTTAAACAAGGACCTCAAAGAGAACGAGCCTAAGTGGCAAGTGTTAATCTACTAACTTGCAAGATTTTTTTGGTGTGGTTCAGCCATTACGCATCCCTTCCTGTTTTGCTGAAGGCACTGGGTAATTATGGCTTCAAAGTAACTGATTCCTTTATAAGCCATTGATTGAATACCTGTACCCTCGTCCTCTGCGTCAGATCAACCCTTGCTTGTTTCTGTGTTATTAAGACTTTTAGTTATAGTGGCCTTGACAGTGAGCTCACAGATGCGTAGTCCATGGCAGAACCTGTCTGCCCAGGTGTTTCCCTACCATCCCACCTAGGTACTCATCCGTCTACCATCTCTATCTGTCCCTCTCTTCATCTTTCTCTCTCTCTCTCTCTCTCTCCTCTCTCTCTCTCTCCGTTTCTAAGTCTCTATTCATCTATGTATCTGTTTCTGCCTGTCTCTACCTCTTCATTATCTCTATCATCTCTCTCCATCCATCTCTGTCTACCCGTCCATCCCTGTTCACCTGTCTCTGTTGCCCATCCATCTGTGCATCTGTCCCTATCCATGCTTCCCTCCTCCCCCACCCCCTCCCACCCTCCTCGCCACCCCCTGCAGCCATGCAGTGCCCAGAGTGTTGGCTATTTTAAATCCACGGGAGGTTTGAAACCCCCTAGGG